TTACCCCTCTCCCATTTCAAAGTACCACAAGAAGAGTGACAAAACAGGATATGGGAGTATGCCGCCCAGCCTGACCTGTGACATCTTTGTGTTTCAGTCACTGTGGAGCAACATATAGGCAACATCTTCATGTTTAGTAAAGTGGCCAATGCAATTCTTTTCTTCCGTCTGGATGTTCGCATGGGCCTGCTTTACATCACACTCTGCATAGGTAAGGAGACTGGTTGTGGGAACCAAATTCCAACCCCACACAGGTCTCTCCATACCCTTCGTCCATCTCTTGTACTTCATTAATTATGTATGTGGCTCAGGTGATAAGAATCTACAGAAACTTTAAGAAGAAGAGAATGCATCAGTGGTCTGCATATGTCCACAAAGTGTATTCTTTGGTGCCTAAAATCTTTGACTCAGTTTGAAAGTAAATCCCCTGCTGCAGGCCTTATATGTTTCCTCTGACATCTTTTTTCCGTGTTTAGTGTTCCTGATGACGTGCAAACCTCCCCTGTATATGGGCCCTGAGTACATCAAGTACTTCAACGATAAAACCATTGATGTGAGTTCTCTTCCTCTCTTCTGTTTCTTGGGTCCCTTGTGGGTGATTCTGTAGTTGTGCTTTTTACTCACTAGGAGGAGTAACTGCTTCAGAATGGAAGTCAAGAGCACTGTGGTTCCTTACTGGAGCTAGGGAGACTGGGGAGGGAAAGCCGGGGCGAGGAATTAGATGCTCCAAGTCTGAACCTTTCTGGGAGCCTGTGTGATCCAGCTCACTGTTTCTTCCCTGTGTGTGGCAGGAAGAGCTAGAGCGGGACAAGAGGGTCACTTGGATTGTGGAGTTCTTTGCCAATTGGTCTAATGACTGCCAGTCGTTTGCTCCTATCTATGCTGACCTCTCCCTCAAGTGAGTACTGTATAGGGAGGGATGATGGAAGCAGAGGTGCTGTACTTTCCCTCTCATGGTTTTTGGCTCTGATTTCTGCACCTTGTAACCAAAGGTGTTTCTCCCCCGCTCCGCAAATATCTGTATTTCCACTTCCCTTGACCCGTTCTCTTTCATTATGTTAAATAATATATTTTTCTTAGGTACAACTGTACAGGGCTAAATTTTGGGAAGGTGGATGTTGGACGCTACACTGATGTTAGTACACGGTATGTAAGGGCCTGGACAGAGGGTCTGAGCCGTAAATCACTTGGAGTGATGTAGACAGATGCATTTATGGAGTACTTTCTGGGCCCTGTAGGTACAAAGTGAGCACGTCGCCCCTCACCAAGCAGCTCCCTACCCTGATCCTATTCCAAGGTGGCAAGGAGGTCATGCGGCGGCCACAGATTGACAAGAAAGGACGCGCTGTCTCTTGGACCTTCTCTGAGGTATCTGAAAGAGTGAGCGAGTGGTTTGGAGAAGGGTGTAGAACAGTAATGGGCTTTGGAGCCCAGCCTGGGTTTGATTCCTGGCTCTGCCACTTGGCCCACTAGTTTTGAGAGTGTGGACTAGTTACCAGATTTCATTCACGAATTCACTTAGCAAATTTGTTGTGTTTCTACCGTGTGCCAGAACTCCTAGTACAGGGGAACAGTTATTAAGATTCAGTCTCAAAGGCCCTTGTCAGTATAGTCTGTAGGCCTGAGGTTCCTTAGCAGTAAATTGAAGAGAGTAACACTTGGATTGCAGGGTGGTTTTGTAGAGGACATTAAATAATGTAGCTGTAATTTCTTGGCACAGTGATTGTCACATAATGGGTACTCAACTGTACAGGGTTGACTCTTCCAGGTACCCAAAAAAGGAGAGTTAGGTTAGAGTAGATTTCTGTCCTTTCCTTCCTTCTTTCCTAGACTGTGTCTAAATACTTCTTACTTCCCAGTAAGGACTCTCCAACCAGAACCCTGATGTGCGTATGTACCTCTTTTGTGCAGGAGAATGTGATCCGAGAATTCAATTTGAATGAACTATATCAACGGGCCAAGAAGCTATCAAAGGCTGGAGATAATACCCCTGAGGAGCAGCCTGTGGCCTCGACCCCCACGGAAGTGCCAGATGGGGAAAGCAAGAAGGACAAATAGAATCCCTGCCTTGTCAGTACTTCCTCACCTTTGAGGCGCTGCCCCTCCTGTAACCACAAGCCTTGCCTGAGGCCTGGGCCTTTTATTTATGTTTTGTCCTTCGGCTATCCCTGAGTGGGGCAGGGGACTGGCTGCTTCTGATTTTAAAGAGGCTTTGGGGAATTGACAGGCATCCTCCAGGACGACCTCCACTGCTGTGGCCAACTTTCACTGGAAGAAGGGAGAAATCTACCATGGATGAGGAAATGCTTTCCCTCCAAGCTTGGGTCAGTTATCAGTTACTGTCCACCGCTCACATGTCTCCACCATGCTGTTTTCATCCCTCCTCTTAGTGGACCTACACAGTCTGCTTAGATTACATTCAACCTAACAGAAGATGCCTCTGTATGGAGTCTGCGCTAGGATTTTTCCCTCAAGGACCCTTGCTTATTTAGGCACTTCTGGCTTGGTCTGTGGCCTTCTTTAAAAAGTATAAGGCTAATTTTGCCACTGGTCCCAAGGAGACACCTTTAACCACTGAGTGTACTCATTGAAGATAATATTGAATAATCCCCCTATGTTTTGGAGTTTGGGAGGAAGGGGAATAGGTTTGAGACATTCCTTTGTGTGGTGGGGCCTCCCGGAGAAAGCCCTTGGGCAGGAATGGGGTTTCCACTTACTCTCCTACCTACTCCCAACACCCAGTTGATGGTTTTCCGTAATAAAGGAACTGGGATTGCCTTTTGTTTGCGCCTTTGTGTGTTCCTCGCCCATTAGAAAAAGCCTGGCCATTGCGGAGGAAGTGCTATCTCCTCCTCAACTTCAAAGGCCATCCTGATGAGTTTCTCCAGCTGCCCGGCATTGGTCCCCAGGATCAGGGAGAGTCAGGGAATGCTAGTTACCGTAATCCCGGACGGAGTACTGACCTCGCCGAGTTAGGTTGCGGGTTTGCTTTGGGATTGGCCCGAGGTTTCCAGGGAGCAGGTGTGTCGGCGGGGGTGGGGTTTGTGTGTCGTGGTCCACGCTATTTGGCCCGACGGAGGCTTACAGAAACGCCTGTGTGAAGCCAGGCTTGTTTCGGAGCTGCCTAGTCCGCGCCCCTCCACAAGCGCGGGTGGTTCGGTCTGGGGCTCCCTGTCGCTCCCCCCCCCGCCGCGGGCAGAATGGTTGTGCCCAGGGAGCCCGCCTCCAGACCACGTGTGCTCTCGGCCACGCTTTGCGCAGCTAGGGAGAAGCTTTGTCCCGGCGGCGGGCTTCCTGGCCTGTGGTTTGGAGCTCGGAGCGGCGTTGGCCGGACCTCTATTCGCGCCCAGCTCGGCTCGGCTCGGCTCCCTGCCGGGCTCCAGGCCCATGGCTTCTCGCGGGAGAAAGCGGAAGGCCGAGGTGGCGGTGGTCGCGGCGGCGGCGAAACAGGAGAAGCCGGCGGGCGGCCGGAAGGCAGTGGAGGCCGCGACCGTCGTAATCGAGCATTGGTGAGGGGTCTAGAGAAACCCGGGGAGGCGGGCCAGGGCCTCGCAGGCCAAGACCCCAGCCTCTGACCTTCCCCATCTCTCTCTAGCACGAGCTGACGCGTCTACGGGCGCAACGCCGCGGCCCTGAGCCAGGCGTTGCGCCTGGAGACCCCGGAGCTACCGGTGGAGGTGAATCCTGCCAAGCCCCGGAGGGGCAGCTTCGAGGTGACGCTGCTGCGCCCAGACGGCAGCAGTGAGTGGCGGCCCGGGAGCAGGCGGGAGGCACTGGTCTCAGCCCGCGGGCACCTCGTCATTTGGGGGACCTGCTGGTGTATTCCAAAGTGACTAAGCTTCCTCGGTCATTTTCCAGGTGTGGAGCTCTGGACTGGGATTAAGAAGGGGCCCCCACGCAAACTCAAGTTCCCTGAGCCTCAAGAGGTGGTGAAGGAGCTGAAGAAGCACCTTTGCTAGGGTGTGTTGGGCAGAAGTCCTCACGCTGAGGTATGAAGGGGGGGTAGGGGTGGATTTGGGGTATTTGCGAAGCAGCCCTCACAGTCCTCTCATTTTACACATGGTCTACAACTTGTAACTCTTCTTGCTCAGGATTTCCCCTTTCTGCTGGTAGGAAAAATAGAAATCGGCAGTAAAATTGTGTCCTCTTACAGTGCCCTTTGCTAACTGCATGTTTCACTGTCTTTGGGCTAAGTTGTAGGCTGCTGATGGTAATGTGAATGGCTTTTTACAGAAATGCAAGTTGTGCCCTTTGAAGATGCGGTTATTGCCCTGGCGCGGGGCGCCGGGGGGGGGGGTACGGACCCTTTTTGTATTTGTTAGAAATTTATTTTGCACACCTGATGGCACTTGTTTCTTAAAGCTGGTGGTGTAAACCCCCCCGTTTCCTCTTTTGTGAGTTAAAATCGTTGACACTTGTTTTTATTTTTCTCCCTATTAATGGCACAATTTTTGTGTAATCTCACGTGTGCTTACCCCTACCCTACCTTTTTGTGTTTGTTTTTGCTCCTAGTATGTTTTTGTTAATCCCATGTGAAAACTACAGTGGTGTCGCTCGTGGCCCCAAGGATTTGACTGGTCTTTATCCCTAGCACTTGGACATGTTGTCAGGCACTTGATATGCTGAGTAAAATGTGGGGGAGGATGCAATCCTTGAACTCCCCCTGGGTTTGTGGGTTCTGGGGCGGGGGACACAGCTTCCTCAGGCTTTAGGATTGCCTGGGCCCCTTCTCTAACCTTTTTTTCACCTGTCATGTTTACAGCCTCCTGTCCCTGGTGATGTTGGAGCATTTATGATGGAACATGGCCAAACTTCAGTCATGTACCTGAAGCCATGGTTTCTTCCCCTCCAGAGAGGATGGTTCAGTTGTGAGGCGACCCTCTCGTAAGGCATTGAAAAGTTCTTGGATTTGGTTTAATAAAAGTTGAAATAAAGTATTTGAATAATAAAGTAAAACAATCTTATGGCAAGAAATGGACAAAACCAGCCTTTTGTGGGATTGGCTCCCCTTGTATTTTTCATATTGAGGTCACAAATTAACCTGGAGCTCCTAGGTTCTCTGGTAGATCATGTGAAATACTTGCAAAAACTGTGGGGGGAAAAAAAGTAAATTATTTTTTTTTTAAAAAGCATCTATCTTTTTCAACTCACTTCTTGGAAGTGATGATGGAAGTTATGTCTTTTTGGTCTCTGCAGAGGTTTGGCTAGACCCACCATGCTGGATTGAATAAGCCACACACATACCCACTTGTTCCACCCCAGCACTGTTTCACACCTTCTGGAACATTTTCTGTTTCACAGAGGGTATTCTTTCTCATTTATCATTGAATTAGCAGTGACTAGATGCCTCATAACTTAGGAGACCTGGTGTTCGTTGTTATTTATGACCCAGTAGAGTTGGGGACCACACAGTTTATAGTTTCACTTGTTTATCACTAACTGGAAAATATACTACAAAGAAATAAGATGGTTCAAGTGCATAATTCTGTACCCATGGTACTACTTTTGCCTGGCTCCCAAAGCCTAGGGAGGAGAGGAAGGGACCTAAAGAGAACTAGGAGTACACCTGCCTTTTGTGCTAAGAGGACAGGGCACGTGCTAGCCTCTGCCAGTAAACCTTTTGCTAGCCAACATTTCCCACCCTCCCGCTGCCCCTAACCTGTACTTCCTGTTCTACGTCATTATGTCCACCTCTGTGTCTGACTCTGAGGAAGGGTCGGGCCACACAGAGGGGATACCTGTGGGCACCAGCCTCCCCTCTGATGTCCAGTCCACCACATCAATCTCTTCCTCTTCAGAGCTGGCAGGAAGTGGGTCCGACAACTCAGAGTTGCCAAGTACCTCCTTGCCTGCCTCTGGAGCAGAATACAATACCTCATCCATACTTAGGGACACTTCTGGCCTAGTCTCCATACAGTTTGAACAGGGAGGTGAGAGGTCCTCATAGGACCTGTGGGGAAGGTCAAGAGAGTCAGTATGAAGCTTATCTCTCTGACCATCCAGTGGTTGGGAACTGGTAATTTCTAGATCTGGAGTCCAAGAGCGTCCTACTGAAAGTACCTCCCCTTCACTCACCTCAGAGGGTATGACAAGGGGGCTAAGGGACTCAGTTGGCTCTTTGTTCTCAGAGGGCATAACAAGGGGGCTAAAGGGCTCAATTGGTTCTTTGTCCTCACCAACAGGTTCCTTTTCCAGTCCTGTGAGCTCCCTGGGCCAGAGTTCCATGTCTGGCAAACACCATTCCTCCCCTTCGATCCAGTTCTTTCCTGTTTCTGTCAGGTGATAGCTAGGGGTCCTGCAGCCCTGGGCTCCAGGACTTTCCAGAGACCCCATGGGGGGCTCAGTGTCTGAGCCACACAGCATGAAGTCCAGGATCTCCTCCAGCTCACTGGTGGCAGCAGCACTTGTGATGCGGTACTCCTCGGCTTCGCAGGGCTGCCCCAGCAGGGCTGTGTCAAATGCATAGGGCTCTCTGCAGTCAATATCCAACCCAGATTCCTTCCCTACCAGTTCTGGACTGGACCCGAACTCAGACTTCACCACTGGGTGGTCTGGGGAGTGGCTAGCAGAGAGCAGAATGTCTTGTAGCCTAGAACACACTGGGGAGTCCTGACACAGGTCTACTGGAGCAGATGACTGTTCCTGCTCATTAAGTGAGGATGGCTGAGTACTCGCAGGCTCTTCTGAGTATTGAGGTTCTGGGATCTGAGGGCTATCTTGAGAGTTTTTGAGGGGAGGCTCTTGTACCACCTCCCAGCACGTCCCATTGACAATCTTCCGAAGTTTCACTCTTCCAACCTGCCCCTCTTCTGCAGAGTCTGAGTTCGGTGCCCTGACTTCAGGGCTCCGCTTCTTGCTCCCACCTGTCTTTCCAAGGCCAGATGGGCTTGGGATGCTCTGTAGAGGACTAGCTCCCCCCGGTTTCTCCTTGTCCTCTGGTACTTTATTGATATTCTTCTGCCGCCAAAGGCGCCGGCCAGGGGCTGTGGGTACTGAGCTAGGTCCGCTTACCATGCTGGAAGGCTTCGAGGTACAGGTATCAGGGGACGGCTTCGAGCGACTCAGTCTGATCTTTCTGGGCAACAGCCGCTCATCCACAGAGGGGTACATACCGGGTGGGGAAAGTGCTGTAGGAGCAAGGGCAGGGTCACTCTTGTCCTCTCTTGGTCCCTGACTGTGGCTTGATGGTGAAGAGCTTTTTTCTTGTGGAGTTGGGCAAGCTCTGGCCTTCTTCTTGAGCAGATGGCCAGACAAATTCTCTGCATTCTGTCGGTTGCTTTTTTCCAAGGGCCCCTCCTCCTTCCCCGAGGACTTCAATCTTACTGGCCGAAGAGGACAAGGAGTCTGGGTTGCAGGCAGTGGAGTCCGAGGGCGGCGGCTAGACGCCACCACCCTGGCAGAGATTGGTGCAGCACTTGGAGGCTGTAAGCACTCCCGGTTCAGTCTCCGGCTCTGGGGGGCCTTCACCAACTTCCCACCCTCTAGCTGAAGGGATTCTAGCTCAGATACACGGAGCTGACGGGCAGCAGAAAGCACATCCTGGGCTTCTTCTCGAGATACTTCCATCTCTGAGGTATACAAGAAGTCCACCAGCTTCCTGAGTGTCCTGATCTTCAAGCCCCCCAGCTCCAGCACCACTTTCCGACCCTGAGCTGGCCTCTCCTGCTCCAGGCGCTCCGTGAAGAAGGGGCTGCAGGCTGACAGGATGCAGCAATGAGCTGGGACTGCCTCACCTGGAAGGAAATCCACTTTGTTATCTCATGCAAACTGGCATGTTCATGGGCTAAATAAGCAGGGTCTTTACTACCCAAATGTGCTGCCCTTTCTCTGTTTTCCTCCACGGGAGTTCAAATAGAAATTTGTTCCTTCTGTCTGCCTGGAACCTTCTGTCATTACCCAGCTAACTCCATTTTATCCTTCAAAACCTAGTTTAGGGGCCCTGGATGGCTCAGTTGGTTGACTGTCTGCCTTCGGCTCAGGTCATGATCTCAGAGTTCTGGGATCAAGCAACGCATCAGGCTCCCTACTCAGAGGGGAGTCTGCTCCCTCTCTGCCCCTCCCCCCACCGCTCCTGCTCTTTCTCTCTCTCAAATAAATAAATAAAATCTTAAAAACAAACCCTGAAAATCTAGTTTGGACGTTACTTCTTTCAGAAAGCTTTTCCCCAAACCACCTCAAGTCTAGGTTAGGTGCTTCTGGGCACAGAGAGGTACTCTAGCTCTCAGAGCACTTAGCTATCCATATTGTAAGTGTCACCTCCTTCACTGAAGTGAAGCTCTATGAGGACAAAGAGTATTATCTGTCTTGCTCTCTGAGGTAAACCCACTGCTTGACACACAGGAGGGGATCAAATTTTTTTTTGGACTCACATGAGAGTTTAAAAAATTTTATAGAAGCTGTTTATAATAGAATGTGAGCTTTGGATATAGACAATCAGGGTTCAATTCTCCCCTGACCCTCTTAGGCACTGCCTGCCAGGCAGTCGTCTGTTCTCAAGCCACCTTCTTTATGGGCACTTCCTTGGCAATCTCAGTCTGGCTTCAACTTCCAAAGGCTTGCTGCTGACTCCCAGGTCCTACTTCTGCCCAGATAGCTTTTTCCTGAGACACTAAACATGCCAGAGCCTGCATCAACCTTTCTAGAAAGTGAACTCCATTCCCTAACCCCAAAACCTCCCATTTCTTACTAAAAAATAAGTATCCACTTTATCCAGCTGCCCAAGCCTGGAAACTACAAGTCATCTTTGATTGTTCTCCTTTACCCACTGTGTCTAATCAAACATTAATTTTTATTTATTTTTAATCTTACTTTAAAGTAACCTCTACACCCAACATGGGGATCAAACTCAAAACCCTGAGATCAACAGTCGCAAGCTCCACTGAATGAGCCAGCTAGGCGCCCCTCAAACATTAATCTTTAAAAAAAACAAACAATTTCTTGAGTCCTTACTGCATGCCATGTAATATACTAAGTAAGGGTTTTACCAGTATTCATTCATTTCCTCTTAACTGCAATTCTGTGAAGTAGCTGTTATTACGGATGAGTAAACCGTGGCATAGCTAAGTAACATACCCATCACAATTACACAGTTAGCAAGTCACAGGGAGGGGATGTGAACCCAGGGAGTTTGGTTACAGAGCCTATGCCCTTAACTGCCCCAAGTTTTGTAAATGCTTTTTGTTTATAAACCATACATTTTTCTCTGTTCTCAATGCCTTAGTTTTAGGCCACCACTCCCTCTCTGGATTCCAAAATGGCCTCCTATCTGGACTGAACAACAATCCAATAATTCTTCTCATGCAGCCCAAGTGCTATTTCTAAAGTAGACATCTGATCATGACCACCTTCTTAATACCTTTAAATACATTTCCCAGGGCGCCTGGGTGGCTCAGTCGGTTGAGTGTCTGTGAGTCTTGGTTTCATTTTGGGTCATGATCTCAGGGTAATGGAACTGAGCCCTGCATCAGGCTCCACACTCAGCAGGGAGTCTGCTTAAGATTCTCTCTCTCCCTCTTCCTCAGCCCCTCCCTGCTTGCACGCACACTCTCTAAAATAAATAAATTTTTCAAAAAAATACATTTCCCAACGTTCCCAGGATACGACCTACTTCCTTTGCATAACACTTCAGAACTTACACACTGCTGCTAATTTCGCTAGCCGTATCTCTCATCAATACACTTCTTGGAGTCTGCCCTCTAGCCATAGTGAGCCACTCACAGATCCTTCGTCGTATCTAAGTCTCTGTACACGCTGTTCTCTCTGCCTGGGAAAATCTTTCCCTGCTTCCTCTGACTCCTGTTTGTCCTCCAGATCTCCACTAAGAGGTTATTTTCTCCAAGAAAATCACCCTAACCCCTGTCCCCCAACCTCCTCACGTCTGGGAAGGTGCCCCTCTCTTGTGCTCCTGTATCAGCCTTTACTTACTCCAATGTTGTTAGATTGCACAGTCACTCGGATCCACTGGTTACCTCAGGGTTTCTCTCCCCTTTTCATGATGTCTGTACAAGGAGGGATTTTATCTTCATACATACTGTATGCCCATGCTAGAGTACACGGTTCTAACAAACAACAGGCAATGGATTTTTTTTTTTTATTTTGAATTAATGAATGAATCCCAACTCTACTTACTAAGAGCACGAACAGGCAAGTCACTCAACTCCCAAAGCCTCAATTAACTCATCTGTAGAACTGGAATCATATAACATTATCTCACAAGGCTGTTGTAAGAATCAAATGAGACACTGGATGATACTGTACGTACTCTTCAAAGTATGGAGTGCTACACGACAATGGTTGTCATAATCCTTTTTTATAAATGAAGAAACTGAGCTCCAGAGAGATGAAGTGGGACTTGCCCATTTGTCACTCAGCTTCTAAGTAACAAAGCTAAGACTCTGACTCCTAGTTTTGGGCTTTTTATAGGAGACCAGGCTCAGGTGGTTAGGGGTCCGACTCTTGATCTCAGCTTGATCTCGGTCATGAGTTCAAGTCCTTCACTGGGCTCCACACTGGGCATGGAGCCTACTTAAAAAAACCAACAAAAATACATGATACCAGGCTCTACTTCATACTGACTGAACATTCCAAGTGTAAAGGAAAGGGGTGGAAATAAACTATATATTTTTAGGTCTAACAACAAACAACAAAAACCATCAATTTGAAGATGAGAAAAATTAATCAAAAGCTTGGCAAGAAAATGGGAAAATATGTAATAGTATTGTCTAACACTTATATTGTGCTTAGTATATTAAAAGCGTTGTGCTAAGTGCCGTGTGTATGTTAACTCCATCTTCACAATCATTACATTATCCACCTTTACAGAATTTCTATGCCTACTAAACTTTACATTACTTTTTTTTTTTAAAGATTTTATTTATTTGACTTTGACAGAGAAAGACACAGCAAGAGAGGGAACATAAGCAGGGGGAGTGGGAGAGGGAGAAGCAGGCTCCTGGCTGAGCAGGGAACCCGATGCGGGGCTCGATCCCAGGACCTTGGGATCATGACCCGAGCTGAAGGCAGACGCTTAATGACTGAGCCACCCAGGCGCCCCCATTACTTTCAATTTTTAAGAAGATTTTATTTATACACTTGAGAGAGAGAAAGAACCAACCAGCGGGGGCGGGGGGGTGGAGGGTGGAGGGTGGGGATGGAATGAGAAACAGACTCCCCACTGAGCAGGGAGCCAGACATAGGGATCCTTCCCAGGACCAGGAGATCATGACCTGAGCCATAGACAGATGCCTGGCCAACTGAGCCACCCAGGTACCCCCCTACTTATATTTATTTTTAAAGATTTTATTTATTTATTTGACAGAGACACAGCAAGAAAGGGAACACAAGCAGGGGGAGTGGGCAAGGGAGAAGCAGGCTTCCACGGAGCAGGGAGCCGGATGCAAGGCTCGATCCTAGGGCCCTGAGATCATGACCTGAGCTGAAGGCAGAAGCTTAACGACTGAGCCACCCAAGCACCCCCCCCCACTTACATTTTTTAAGAGAAAAAGAGCACAGTCTCATTTTCACTCTTGGAAACAGTAACTGTCCTAGAAACAAACAACTCTTTACCAAATAACTTATAGTGCTCAAGGGCAATAATACATTTTCTTGGTTTTATGCTCTACTCCCTGGCCCTGAACTCATTTTATCTTATTCTACAGTGAGTATTCTATAGTGACTTTTCAATTAAGACCCCACTAGTGTCTTACCTTCTGCCTGCAGAAGGACATCACAGAACACACCAGTCTGTTGCTGGTGATGAAGCTGCAGAAAAGCTAACCGGAGAAACCGGGGATTCCTGTATAGGATTTTGGAACTGGCGGGAGAACACATGTTGGTCTCTTAACAAACCTTCTAGGTTTTCACAGATCAGATTCCTGTGGATGAGAAAGTATATTTCAGAAGAATCGCTGTACCTAATTTGTTTTTTGTCTTTGAAATGGTAGGGAAATCTTGAAAATGGGAAATAGCCATGAGCTGAGTTATCATAAGCCCAGAAATTGTGCCAAGGGTCTCTCAAGAAATATCATAGTGGTTGCATGTGGGAGCTTAGAAGCAAGTGTAGATTTGAATCTCAGTTCTGTTATTTATTAGCTTAGCTGTATAATTTCAGGCAAATGACCTAACTTTTCTCATCTATGAAATGGTAATGATAACAGTACTTACCTGGTAGGGCTGTTTTAAAGATTAAATGAGTCAATGCAGGTAAAATTGCTTAGCACTGTGAGTGCCTGACGCATAATAACTATCACTTCTAAAATGGTAGCTGTTGTTGTTATCCTTAAACCTTCTTCATTCACATTGCCAGAGACTCAGTGCCTACAGTGCTGACAACTCATATTCTTCCTGAGCAACACACTTCTGAGTTCCATAGGTATAATCCTCAATTTAACTTTTAAAGAAACAACACTGAATGGAAAATTCTCTAGGAAGTTGTACACACCTCTTCTTTGAGCTCACTCTATCACACTAACCAGCAGAGGGTGCACAGTAAAGAAAAGCAGGTGCTGGACTTGGTGGGAAAATCTCTCACAGAAATAAGGACGCTGCCACCCTTGCTTCAGATGTTCTTGACCAAAGCGAGCCTAATGCAGCCTGGAAATGGGCAAAGAATCTGGCCTTTAGGTTTGTCAGTCTGGTTAATCGCCTGGCTAACAACGGAGCAGGGATAATTAGGCATTCTACCCTTCCTGATACAAGCTGGATATTCTGAATTCAGGCTTACTCCATTTCCAGCTTTTTGCACTGAAACCCCCACACTCACTGCACAGCTGGTGTTCCTTTCCTGGCATGCAGTTTTCCGTCAGGCGGCACTGAGGATCTGAACAGTTCCCGTCAAACTATCAGCAAAGAAAAGAGTGGAAAGGTTAATTAAGAAGGGGGTAGGCTCAATTCCAATTTCAGCCAGAGAGATGGGGGCGGAGGATGGCTGCTCTTGCAAGGTCCCAAACAGAGGCTCTGGGGAAGCTTCCCAACCCACCAGGACCCGGCCCTGTCCCCAGACCCAACCTGGAAGAGCTCTGCAGTCGGAGTTGCGCTTGCCGACCTCTTTGTGCTTGGGTCCTCTGTCCAGCCTGCCTCGCTTCCTCCACAAGTCCAGCCTCAGGCGGGAAGGTTTAGCAAAGCAGCGCAGGTGGGCCAATGGCCTGAGGGTTCCTCTCCCCGTCCAGAACCGAGGAATCGGGGTGGGCGGAGAAAGCTGGGCGTCAGGGAAGGCCCTGCAATGCTGGGCGTCCCGCACGCTCTGGGAGCCCCGGCCCAACTCCTTTGAAGAGAAACCTCTCGACGCGAAGGTTTCTGGGAATGGAGCGTGGGGTTCCCGGAGGCCCGAATTCAGGGCTCACCGTCAGCACCGCGCCCGGCCGCACGGGGCTTTGCAGCCACCCCCTGTTACCCTCTTACCTCCGCGGGCCCCGCCACCCTCCTGCACGGGGACGTGGTGACAGCGAGGGCCTGAGGCCACGCGACCCGCGCCACACACTCACGCCACCGTCCTCGCGCACGGCGCGTCGCGGGGCCCGACGTCCTTCCTCCTCCCCCAGCCCTCGGCCTGACGTCTGCCTGAATACGTCATCCCCATTGGCCGAAGGCCCCTCGGACGGCCAATCACAGGGACAGGAGCACTTTGGGCGGGAGGCTAAGTCTCGAGGGACTTGAGGGCTAAGCCAAGATGGTCGGGCTGTGAGAGGTAGGCAGGGGGGCCTGCTCGGGCGGGATCCTGATGGAGGCCGTCTTTTTCGTCGGCAGGGGACGAAATCACAGTGACAAGAGAGTCAGGATGCCCCAGTAGGGCAGGCTCCAAGGCGGTTGCAGGACACCTCTGTCTTCCCGTTGAAGGGGCTGTCAGTAAATGGCCCTGGGCCTGTGAGAGCGCCGCAGGCTTCCTGGAGGAGAAAGCCCGTGGTTGGCTCTCCTCACACCTTCACCAGGTCTGTCTACGCTCGTTAGATCCTTAGTCCAGGGATGTTCGGGAAGAGGTCTTTAGGCTAGGGTCTGAATTCAGGCTTTTCACAGATTCCACTCCACCCTGAATCTCGGAGCACTGGTGCGACCAAGGGGGTTGCAGAGCTTCCCGCGTGGGGTGGCCTCGGGTGTCCTTCCAGAGGTGATTTATTTAGCGCACCTGACTGGAAACAGCTGTTTTCAGGGGTGATATAAAAAAGTTAAATGATTTCACGATTAAACGTTTAGAGAGAATGCCAACCCACGTTATAAATATGGACAGCGGTTCTTACGTGTGTGTGTGTGTGTGTGTGTGTGTGTGTGTGTGAGGCCAGCTGGAGGCAGAACGGGAAGATGCCTGAGAGAAGGGGACCCTGCAAAGGAACAGACGAGAGTGTCGAGAGGTGAGTAGTACGTGCGCTCAAATACGCCTTTGTTGATAGCTAACACCTTTTCAAAAAGAATTTGAGGAGTATGTCAATTATACTATAATTAAATATTTTTAAAGGATTTGGGAAGGTTGAGTGAAATATAGGGGGTAGGGTGCATTTCCAAGTCAGGTAATATTTTCCTAGTTTGGGGCCTGCTCTCAAGGTGGAAAAAAGATCATGGAACAGAACACATTTTTGGTTGCAGTTGTGTTTTGAAGATGAAGCAACTCGCAAAGGGACATAAAACTTAGCAGAAAGAGGACACACACAAGCAAGTAAGAAAGAAAAAAAAAAGGATGAGACAGAACAATGTTTGTTTATGGCATCTTACTGTGGAATCAAGACTTGAGTGGGCAGGTGAAATACCAGTAGAGGTGATTCTGTGGACTTGTAAGAAAAATAGAATTATTATATCCTCTCATGAATTTATTGTTACTACGATTAATTTTCAGGAAATAGGACTCACATCTTGGTTTCTTTCTTTCTTTTTTTAATCCAACACCATTTAGATAAATCTTATGATAGTGGAGTTTCTAAAGGGAATGATAAACGGCCATCCTACCCAGGGCTTTAAAAGTGCCAAACATTCGATGGTTATGTGTAGCCACCAGAGGGTAGAAACGAGTAAAAATATTTTGTCTTCCTTTGTATGGATAGCCAGTGCTTTTTGTTGATTTTTTTTTTCGTTTCTTCTCCTTGGCATTTATGGTTTTAGCTATTTTAGAAGTAGAGATAGCACAGCACTCAGCCCTACATAATAATTTTAATATTTAAAATTTTTTTAAATTTATTTTATTTATTTTTAATATTTCTATTTTGAATACAAAATTATTTCCCAGCTCTTTCCTAATCTTTTACCATTTTATGGAATCTTGTTTTTCTTTGTGTGTTAAGTGGTGATGGCTGTGGTGGGCTGGGGGGGTGGATTACACTTGAGAGTTGTAAAACCGAACACTGAATGTAATATTCCATGCGTTAAAAACAAAACAAAATGAAAGAAAGAAAACAAAGGAAAGAAAAAAAACCCCGAAATAAAAAACAACCATCTCTGAACATATCCTCAACTCATTGACTCCTCTCCATTTTTACTGCTACCATTGTGGTCAACTCCGTATATACTGCAGCTTGACCTTCAAATTAATTTCCTTGCTTTCACCCTTGCCCCTCTTTACTCCATTTGTCACATAAGCAGGCAGATCTTTTCAAAATCTGAGTTAGATCATGTTATTCTGCTGTTGAAAATGCTCACAGGCTTCCCTCTATCTGAGAATAAATTAATCAAAACTTTCTCTAACCTGTAGAATCCTTCATATTTCTATCACTCCCTCCTCATTTCGACACTCTGCTGGATCCAGCAGGTTTCAGCCTCATGCTTGGGGGCTTTGGCATTAGTAGTTACCATTGCTCATATGTTCTCATGGTTGGCTGCTTCTTCCCATTCAGATTTCAGCTTAAATGTGAAACTCTCTGGAGAGTTTGTCCTTGACATCCAGTGTAGCACAAGTCACAAGTCATTCTCATCAGTCTGTTTTAAATTTCTGCTTAGTGTTCCATCTGACATTTATTAATCTTCTCTCCCTCCACTAGAATGTAAGCTTTCTGAGAGCAGGGAACCTGTCTACTCATTATCTGAAGAGTACCTGGCTCATAGTACGTGCTCAAAATAACCCAAGTGGAACTTGTCTTTTTACTTTGGGTCACCTGAGTCCACTCAGGTGTAAAAAACAGTTTTTCCCACTGAGTATTAATCCTTGTGATGCTTTATTTGAAGACAGCTGTTTCAGATAGGTTTAACAAGTTTTTCACCACTGAGTTATCTTTTTTTTTTTAAATAGGCTCTACACCCAATGTGGGGCTTGAACTCACAACCCCGAGATTAAGAGTCACATGCTTTACCAACTGAGCCATCCAGGCGCCCCCTGAGTTATCTTTTTTGATTTGTATATAACTTTATTTCAAATGTTATCTACAAATTCATTAATATAAAATGACTTACCCAGGATTACATAACTGGTAAGCCAAGAGACTTCATTTACTCATCCATCTGTTGCTGAATGTGAAACATTAGGCTGAGCTCTGGGGATACACCATGAACTAGAAAGACACCATTCATGTCTTCATAGAGCTTATCTTCTGGTGAGGGAGACAGGAAAGCAAACACAAAAGGAAGGCAAAATACTTGCAAGTTTTTAGTGGTAATGTGAAGGAAACAAGACCAATCTATCGCTAGACGATCATAGAATATTCTAGAATATGGTTCTGATCTAGGAATCAATGAAGCAACAAATGTTTCTTCCCCCCCCCCCCCGCCAAACATTTCTTGTGCTGGTTGTTTTCCTTTGGCAATCATCTTTGGCTTTTGAACTTGCTATGGAGGATCAGGAATACTAGATGGAAAGTAGAGGTAGAAGATGTGATAAGAGGGATGCCTGGCTGGGTGATAGACATTGGGGAGGGTAT